GTTTTGAACGGAACTTGATGAGCCCGTAGCCCTGCGCCTTTGCATGCTCTCTAAGCACTTCCTCGGCTTCATCTAGCGTACAGTAGGACCGTGGCGGTGGTGGTTTGAGGGCCATGGTGAGTGTATTGAGGAAGTTGAGGATCAGGATGTAATGCTTTGTGGCCACGCCGCACTTGGAGAGAGCATTTGGAATTAATGAGAAACGTAAGCGAGCGAATCGGAGGCCCCGGAGCACTCCTCCGGACCAATCAGAAGATCAGACGTAAGAAGGGTGTATACGGAGTAGAAAAGGGGTGTACACCGAGTAAATATAGGGTGTACATTTAGCAGCGCCCAAACTTTAATATTTAAGTATTTAGGCTAGCTACTATTAGCTAGCTTATTAAAAATAATTACCTACTGCGCGAGTTTAAAACGCCGGCGTTTTATATAATAATTAAGATAGTAAACCTAAAAGCGGAAGCTGCGCTATAAAATAGCTATATAAGTGTTTTGCGGTTTATTATAAGGTTTTATAAGTACTTATAACCTTAAATTTAAAACGCCTTATTATATACTACCTCTAAAATCTATATTAGTTTTAACGGCTGGATAATAAAAGGCGGTAAATACGGCTTTTTTAGTATTATTACGTACTATACTAACACCTCTAGTATAATAACTAACCTGCCTATTATACTGCTATAGCTATTAGGTTACTATATAGGTAAGTAAGTTGCTAAAGTTATTACTAAAACACTTACTAAGTTTAGTATTAATATAGTAAACTTAGGCTACTTTATACTTAATAACGCCTCCGCTAATAATATAGCTATTGCTGCCTTTACTACTAAATATAGCTTTACCGCGTTCTATTATTACCTCTATTATACGCCTTATACTATTAATTTTATTAGATAAGCTATACTATTTAGCCTAAATTATAATAGCTATAATAACGCGCTTAAAAAGGCTACTAATAAGGCAAAGTTTTTAACTAAGTAGCGTAAATATAGGCTGCTTAGTATATTTTTAGATATTTTTACTTATATTAGAACGCTTTTATAGTATAATCTATTTACCTAGTACTAGCAGCGCGCTAATAGTAAGCTTTTAGTTAAGCAGCGCAGAATTTTCGAGCTTATTAAGCTAGTAGTTACTTACTAAAACTCCTACTATAGCACCCTTAAGCGCGCTACTTGCCTATAAACTATAGTTAATACCTATATAAATATTTATATTAATTAAACACGCACTAATAACGCCTATACCCGCGCGTAAAATATTAAGCTGCCTAATATACTAGTATAAATAAGGTCTAACAGGCTGTTAGCTAATAACTAGCAAGTAATAACTAAGTATATAAAGGTTTTTAAGCTGCTTAAAACTATAATTAAAAGGCTTAAAGGCTATAGTAAAGGCAGTTATTTTAGCGCGATTTATAAGGTTATACCGGTGTTTAAGCAGCTGCTAGGTAACTATAAGGTATATATTAAGCAGTTTAGAAGTGTTAATTAGCACGCAATAGGCGCTCTAGAGGACTATTTTATTATTAATTTATATATAGTATAGCTAAAAGCAGATAGTTACTATTATAAGCTTAATAAATCGCCCGCCTACTATACTACTTGCGTCCTCTATCTATACTATAAACACTACTGCCAGCGCTCCTGGCGCAATAAACCCGAGTGGCTTGCTGCTAACAATGCCGCTTTTCAGCAACTTTGGGCGCAGTACAGGCCCCACGGCGAGGCCACAGTAGCCCTAAGGCGTTAAGCTTGTGCAGACAATACTATAGATAACGCTATTAATACGCTGGCAGCTGGCGATAGTAGCGATAAGGAGGACGATCTTAATAAGTATAAGCGCTGGCGGAAGTACAAACCGCGCTGGACGCTTGATTAGCTTAAGAAGGAAGAAAACGCTATCTATTACTGGACTACCCTGCGCCTAAAATACCCCCACTTAGCACAGTTTGCAATCAACGTCCTAACAATCCCAGCATCTATCTGCGACTGCGAGCGCGTTTTTAGCGAGCTCGGCAACCTCTTAGAGCCTAAACAACGCCATATAGGCGCGGAGTTACTGGCGGCAATCCAGTGCGTACGCGCTTAGCTAAAGGCTGGCTTCTATCTACCCTCCAAGACGCTTGCTGAAAGGCTTGCAGCGAAGCTTACTAATGAGGAGTTAGAGATAAAATATGGTTTGTGCGGATGGGAGCCGTCTGTATAGTTAATGGCTGTAAATAGCTCGGCTTACATAACAAGTAGGATCAATTGCAAGTTTTTTCCAATCAAGTATGCCAAAAATCGCTTCCAAATCAATCAATTACGTCTGCTGTGTAGGCCGCTACCAATCAACTCAAGTTGAGCGTTGAAACTTGATTGATTTGATTGTTGACAACTCTGCAAAGATGGCGGCATAAGGATGAACAGCCCAAGCTCCTGCGCGTGGAGCGACCACGCATCGCTTCCCGGAATTCACGGAGGAGACACACCGCCTAGTTTTCTATTGTCCATTGGCGCAGGCAAACTCAGAACCATGTCAAAGGCCATTGACACCGTGTGGCCAGGGCCACTAGGGCCATTAAGGCCATCGTCTCGGACCAACGAGCACGCACAGAGGTTCGCTGTCTTCAGGAACGTCTTCATTGATACGACGGAGGGGAAGAGGCGACATAAATTAATGCGGACCGTAGCCAGAGGTGAGCACACGTGGTACAAGCGCCTCAACGTCACCACCGGTCTAGAAAAAATGAGACTCGATCTGTGGGAGTCTGGATTTTGGGACCCCCCAGGAAGCGGTAGACTGAGCGAAAAGCATCGCAGGGGAAAAACGATGAACAGGATACAAATTGCGACAGAAGCATACCTAAATGTGGATGCGATCGGACCGATCTCACCAAGAGAGATGTTGAAGCAGACTGCAGAGAAGCTGGTTCTGTTACGGAGGGCTCGGGGGTTTGAGATTATAACGGAAGGTGGAGAGAAACGTGAGCGGTGGGAGACATACATGGGTAAGCATCTTGCTGACGAACGAGACTTCTTCCAGGAATATTTGGTGCAGTGGGATTATGCAATGCTGGGTCGGAAAGGGCTGAATAACTGAAGAATGTTGAGCACGGGAAGCGGGTAGCTTGTTATTGCAAAGGTACTCAACGTAAAGAGTTAAGACTTGTTATGATAGTAACTTTTTATGCAGCATACACAAGTTGGCGAACCACATAGCAAGTATCAGGTCTTGTTATATTACACCTGCAACTCGATGAAGATCGGCGAATCGTAGCAATTCAGCGTGGTATATTTTTCTAAAAGCCGCGACGTTGCAACTGGATCTCGCGAACTAAATGCCCGGTTCCGGAAGACTGCTGAACCTTGGTGCCATACAGTGACACGTCATAAGTCTGGGCACACGATTTTACCACTGGTTGGGGTGCTCCATGGGGTTTCCATGATCTTGATGCAATGTCAAGTTTCATACAGCGGAATCTAGGCTACCTCTTGCAAGGTCTACTTCCTAGCAACGGAGGTTCTCCTGACAATAGTAACTAGCTCTCGAAAGTGGCAATCAAGCAATGGTATCTGTGTGCCCGGACTCATGGCTTAGTACTGTACGTTCTGATTTCCGACCTAGTCATCAAACGAAAATCTCATATATGAACACTGATTAATCGTACTAAGGATATACCACACCAATACACACCTAGGTGGTACATCTCACTTTACATTCCATCGCTTCTTCACGACTACCATCGATCCTTTCCCTATTGGACACCCGGCCTGTACTCCTCGGCTCTACTAATTCTATCGCGCTACGGTCTCTTCTCTCTCACACACACACGCGTTTCGGCACCATGTCTCTTCTGAAGCTACATCTACAGCTTACTGCTTTGCGCCGAAGAGAAGGGCACAAGAAAACCTATGCCCCCTCTTCAGCACCTCAAGCCGCACCTACTCATGTATCACCTACTCAATTCACACCTTCTCAGACATTTCTCCAGTTACCCGTCGATGTGCCTTTGCTCATGTTCGACGAAGTACCTCTTTACAGCATGGTCATTGTTGCTCGAACTGGCAGCTGGATGCACCCCCTAGTGCGTAAGAACTAGTGTATTTGATACTGTACTAGAAC